ATTTTCGGACTTTCTCCCGAGCCGTTTATCATAGTTGACCTTTGACTGTTTATTGGACTTGGTCAACCGTTATTTGACTATTATGTGATTTTTCCATACGTGGTTCCGAGTCAAGTCAAATATTCCATAACTCCACGAGATTTTCCACGAGCCACTTAGTTGAAATGTTTCAATAAGTTTAAGTGTTCGTTGTATTATTTGTAATCAAGTAGTTATCTTGATTTCGTGTAGGTGTTTTGAGGTGTTGACCTCACCACTTACCCAAGTCTCGCTTTCGTGTTATCCGCTACTTCCAGGTGGGTACAGTGTTTTGTAACTATAATTATCGCACTTGTTATTTCGTATAAATGTTCTTTTCAATAGTTGTTGTATGCGTGAGAACCCTAGTCTATGATTCCCGTTGGTAGTGCCTTTGACGAATGCATAAACAGTGAGAGGTCTCTGAACCGTTTTCCTAGTCGGGAGGTGACGCCCTGAACCATTTGCCTAGTCGGGAGGGGAAAAACAGCTCCACTGTCTCCCAGAAAGGATCCCTTTGCCTATGTCGAGCTAGGGAGGGAAGGTTTCCGGTTACTTCGTTGTCGATGTCTGGTCGGAAGGTTGTTATATGTACATAGGAGGTTTGCGATAGGGCCGTATAGGGAGTAGACATGGATTCTATGCATACTTCGATTATGGTTTTGAATCTTTATGCAAAATATACTGTGCGGTATTGGTGAGCATAGTGGTTTTTCTCACCCCCATTGTTGTTTTGTCCTTTTGTTTTCTCTTCCTATCTTTAGGTTGAGCATTGTTGGCGGCGGCTAGAGACGAGCAAGTGGTGGTCATTGGGTCTTCATGTCTTTACTTCCGCATTTTTTTATTTTATGTCGAATTGTTATCGATGAATTATGATGCTTCCGCCTGAACATTTGATCCTGTTGATGGGATTATGTTGGAACCTTTTTAATTTGGTTTTAGAAATTTATTATGACTTGGTTTTATTATTATGTTGTTAGAATGCATGTGTAGGTCCTGATGTTTGTTTTTAATTGTTTATTTTGTCGGTAGTCAAGTAGCGCCCGTTTAAGTTCAAAGATTTAATTTGAAATTTTGCAAAAAATTTACTCTGATTTTTATAAATAAATTTGGTAAACTCTTTAAAGTAAAACGGGGCGTTACAAAGTCCATTCGGCCCCCAACCCTAGCCGCCTCACGCGTCCGCGCCGCCTGCCAGTCCTAGGCCTGCTCGGCCTCAGCGTCGCCCGCGTCCGC